TAGAAAAAGTTGTCGCACGGCTTGTGAAGGTTGATCAGCTTGCAGCTTTCACAGGACTCGCTGATGGACTTTGTTCAGGAGTTGGGGAACAGAAAACTTCCGCTCATTTGCCAGGCGTCCTGGTTTTTCAGGCTTGTCCGAAGTCTTTAAAGTCTTTTTGGGCACAGCCTCTGCCAACAGGACCCATAGATACAGGAGATCCTTGACACAGGGCAAATCATGAAGCAAAGCATTGAAAGTGCAGAAGGATCTGCTGCGCAAGTCGTGCTGGAGAGGCCTTGCTACTACCTGTGTTATGCGGTAATCGCATGCATGGTTAACAGCATGCACTTGCCCTCTTTCTTTACTCCCAAGTCCCGAGCTCCTCAAACTTTCTTCCCTTGAAATCTGGACGTTGTAAACCGAATGCGGCCAGAATCTTACACAGATGGGGTATCCATTTGTCCAGCGGCTTTCGTACCAAAGTCATCGGTGACGTGAACTCCTGCAGCCTGCCAGGCTTCAATGCAGAGGCTTTGCGGGTCAACGCACGATTCCGCCACTCCATGGCCACTCACGGAATGTGATTGAAAGGCTGCACTTCCAATTCCCCAATAAAGGCATTGGACACATTGGCGTGTTTGCTCATGGACTGTTGCACAGTCAGCGAACCGTTTTCCTTCTGACTGGGCGAAATCCCAGTTTAGGAAGCATGTCTCTGTCACAAGTGTGTAATATGTCTGCCATTCACAGGAGCTAACGAAGGACTTGGACAAATCTGGAGTCGTTGCATTGTACCTGTACTGTCACAGAAAACCCCCTTGCCTGCAGAGTTGATGGTACTTCCGAGTTGGCTTGAACAGCTTCATATTTCGCAGAATACTCAACCCACCAGCCTATCTCACTAAACCATCCCTCAACCAAAGATGCTCATTGGCCGGAATCCTCATGAAAAGCCGCTGACAACAAGAATCCAAGGATCACTCATGAAAGCTCATGATCACTCCTTCACTGGCTCCACAAAATGTCGTCATCCCCCCTGTTAGTCCGGATACTCAATCTGTACAGGAATGCGAACTACCGGTGTCGATCGTCTTTGCGGAAAGTATGATCCACGTGATTGCTACTGCAACTCTCTGCTACCAATCGAGGTCCGAAAACAGCGTTCGTCACCCTACCCAGAGGACACGCCCGTAGAAGGTTGCGCTCTCTCCTCTCTGCAGGCTCAACTCCACAACCCTTCAGCTTGACAGCGCCAAGACCATCTAGCGTTCTCATACTTGGGCAACCATGGATTTTGCCAAGCATGCTGGCTTCCTTACTGTCAACAAGATACAAGGAGGCTGCGCAGGGAAACTGCGAAGCATTGAAGGTTCGCGCTCTAATTGCACAAGAACTCCACTACTTCTACGCAGAGTTGACACTCTACAAGCTTCCCTACCAGGACCCGGTATCATGCAAAGGCTTTCTACTTGACCTGCCGCGCTTGGTATGTTGCGCGATTGCTCCTTTCAGCTTCGAGATGTTGTGGTGGAAGGCTTTAGCATCACTGTTTGGAGCCAGAGCCCGTCAAGGAGACCCCGCAAGGCATACCTCACACCAACTTGCTGCATCCCATTCGTTGTACCAAGCAAGTCAGGAGCGGTAGACTTTCAAGCGCCTGCGGGTCTTCCGAAGCCACAGCTACGACAGCTACGACCACCCCATGCTCAGCTAAGTTGAAACCCGTGTTTGGAGCCTTCTCTTCAATGAGCGCATCATCGATCATCTGGCGCCATGTTGCTGCACAAATATTGCAAGAAACATGGTCCGTTTCTGGCGGTAAGAAGCAGCGGCAGGGCTGTGCAGGCAAGGTTCAGGACAAGCTCTCGAGGCAAGAGAGGAGCATAAGGCGGAGTTGCGGGTAGAGCTTCCAAAGCCTACGCCTCCAGTTGAGAGCGTCAGGGCTTTGGAAGGCAGGGCTTAGAAAAAGTTCTTTGAATACAGCCTGACATTCTCGGTCTAAGGCCTGACCCTAGCGAACACTGGAATCAAATAATCGTGCCATTCATTCAACGCGAACTTTGCATCTGCATCGGAAGTTTCAAGACCCCAAAGGCCGGTGAAGCTCGCCCTTTAAGCCTTCTCGCTCACCCGGTGTGATGCTCGTGTGTTTCTTGTCGTCCTGGTGGTTCTCCTCTCCAACATGCTTTTGCTCTACAGCACCAGGAAAGGAGGAAGGTGAGACGGCAAATTTCAGAAACCTCATCTCCTTATTTCCTCAAACACCCCAGTAGGAGCCATCATCTCTAACGATGCGATTTTTACTTCTGCAGTGCTCGGGTGCTTTTGGAGCACCGTGCTCGTCAGGAGGGCTGGTTACGTTTGTGGCAGGTTTGCATGCGATTCACTGCCATTCGAGCCTGTCAGCTAGTCAACTCACCACGCTCAGCATGAATTCATGGAGTGGGGTAGAGCTTGCAAAAGATCCTGGGGAGCCTTCCGCCCTTTCAAGTCAAGTCTCATCTGAAAGAGTTCGACAAACGCAGCCGAAGAAGATGATGCCACAAAACCGCTTCAGATGAAGTCCTTGTGGCCGTGGTCTGTGTCTTTGCAACTGCAACGTGCTCCGTGTGCTCGTTCTCAGAACCGTCGCTGAACCTGAAGACTCCAAAGACTCTTCGACCGAAAACCTTACAAGCTCAGCTGAGAGACTAGTCTTATGCGGGCGAGACGGATTGATACGGTCACTTACTGCGGGACTCACGCAGCATCTGAATCTAGCCGCGTTATTGGCTCGCAGGCCACTGCATGCCGACGACTCTGTCACCACGTTTGTTAGACATCACTCTGAAGCTGCGTTGGGCAATAAAACCTCCCAGACCTTGCAAAGTCTGGGCAGAAGCAAATGATGCGACAGTCACGGCCTGGAGGCTTTTCACTTCATGCTGGGAGCAGCACGTTCGCTCAAGCGTCCTCTCTCCATCGTCCTGATATTCTCAGCTTCCTACGAGCAAAGCCATGAAAATGTGAATCTAATTGTTGGGGGCTGCTCTGCTGCATTTCACATTTCCAGATTGTTCTGAGGAAACGAGACGACCAGATGGAGACTAGATGTGCAAACCCGTCTGCAAGCCACTCTTTCCACTGAAGGTAGCCGTCCTCAGAGTCGAACTTCGGCAGATGCGGCATTGCGCTGCTGAAGTCCAAACACCCTAAGAGCCCTGAGTGTCCTCACTAAAATGCAACTGCATACCCCCACATCCCTACATGCTAAAGCTGACGTCAATCACTGCGCAGTGCGCTGCAGTTGGTTGGTGGGCTCCAGTTATAGGATGTCTTCACATTGATGCCCATGTCCCGTATACTGCTCTGCAGCCAGGTAAGTTTTCTTTAGTTGGGGCAGCGAATGGTGGATTCCGAGGTTCCCAGCTCTTTGGGAATTTTGCGTGGTTGTACGCAGCTGTGCGAGCGTAAAGCAGACCTCGCGAATCTCCACTGCAAAAAGCTTCAGGGTTCAGTTAACACTGGCGGCTTAGTAGCCTGTGTGCTTGATACTGAAAGGTTCTTTGTGCAGGTCTATCCACGACACAACGACAAATATCACACAAAGTTCTGGAGGACAGGCTGATTGCATGGTTTCTCGCTGACACACCACAGGACATGTGCTTAGCATCTTCTGGCTGGGCATACCCATCTCACCCGGATACCATGAAAGAAGCCGAACGATGTCCTCGTAATTCCACTCCCTGTTCCTCAACAGTGTGGTAACCATTTGCAATTTAGAAGACCCATCACGCGCTCACTAAAGCATGATGCAAAATGACTTACAAAACACCGTCGCGGCAGACGGACGCCTTTTGCATAATCTCAAGAAACCAGACAACCTCTGAGAAACGTACGTATCCGGCTGCGCTCACGGACCTTGTCAAAGCAAGGTTTTACAAAGAACTCGGGAGGCTCCTACTCCTCTCTACGATTCTTTATCGCTTACCCCTTTACTCAAAAGGCATGAGCACGCTCATCCTTCTTTTAAGAGCTTGGGGACGCAATCCATAAATCTGTTGGACGTTTCAAGCCCAAGTGGACAGCAGTCCTCATTCCCGGGTTGGGCGGGCGGGGAAAGTCAACTTACAGACATCACAGTCAGCCGGCAAGCTGTGCCAATAGCAGTTAAGACCACGCAGGCTGAACAAGCAACTTCATACATACCGGTCAGTTGCTAAAGAATAGAGAGCGGAGTTGCCACGTTGCAAGGCACAACAAAACAACACTTGGGCCACAAACAGAGATGTCATCTCCGCGGCAGTCCTGCAGAACTCCCGAGCGTCGTGTCACTTGCGCAGGATCAGAGTTCCTGTTGGCCTACACAATCCGTGTGCTGCAGCAAGTCCATGGCGAAGGCTGTAATCTAAGCGCATACAGTACCAGTATCTCAAGCTGATCTTTAAAGGCCATCACGTCAGCGCAGGACAGAATGGCGCAGCTAGTTCCCTTGCACAACGAAACAATACCAATTGTACAAACAGTGTGCCCATATTCTCAGTCCAACACCCTGTAAATCTTTTTGCAAGAGCTGGCATTGAAGCATCCGACCAACTAGTCATCAGCAACCTTGCCTACAACTGAAGGCGCGCATCTTATACATGCCAGCATCAGGGATGATACCGGAACGTGCACGCTTGGAGAGAATTGGCGCTTGCATCTGCAAATCCCAGTTTCAGAACAGAAAAGCTGACTTCCACCCATGGCCTGACTTGGTCGGGCGGGTCCGCGGGATGGAGAGATGAGAAGTGAAAGAAAGGCTTGAGCCAAGCGAGGCAGCCATATGGTGCGGAACCTGCATTAAGCTAACCGCAGCATCTAGCTGGAAAGCACCTGCTCGTCCGCCTTGTGCAAATCCAGATGCAAAGCTGTATTGACTTGACCACTCCACACTCTCCGCCCTAGCGGTTTGACTCGCGATCAAAACCAATCATTGCATATGATATGCTCCTACATCAAGGCTACACGCGCACCAATTCGAAGAATCTGGGTAATGCCTGCCGGGAAGCCATCGAAGGCCTTCAAGGGCTTGTCGAGGCTTCGAGCTAAGAGGATCGGTGGCATTCCCCTATTATTAATGCGCATGGCTTCCTGAGGGACAAAACCAAACTAAAGGGATCCCTATATCCACTCTGGCTGGAGTTTGGTCAGGTACAGTTAACAAGAACGGTCTTCTCGAATGCGGGCCTGGGCCTTGAGAAAAAAGCTAGTCTCAGTGTGGCTCTTAGCAATGCCAGCTCTTGGACAATGCCAGTTAGTCTTGGAAGTAGGGCTGTCTTCATACTGATCACAGCCGGCTGTTGTCGCTGCGCTGTCCCGCTACGCCCCTCGCCAATCGCCCATCCATAGCCTTGGGCCTTGTCTCCACACCTCCCAAGGTCGCCAAACTCAACACAGAAGAGCGTGACGCTTTTCAACGAAATTATTCTGCAATATGACTATGCTCGCCAGAAGTTGGCACACCACGATGATGGAACAGAAGGCAGCTCACGCAACCAACCTCCCTGACATAGTCTACAGCCTGTAGGCCCCCATGCCTCTTGCTCGCTGGGCGCCGCAGCTTCAATGGCGGCTTCGAATGACTCAGCCTGGACTGCTTTTGTCTGGGCAGCCCTTGTGCTTAGGAGGTTCTAGTATGTTTTGGCAAGGAGCGTCTGGTCTTCGGTGATGATGTGTGATCGCTTCTTAACTATGCTACTTCTTCGATCCTGGCTCCCTGTTAGCATGCAATTCCAACCGCCGCGAGGCCCCTGCCATAACCTCTGCGCACATCAGATCCAAAGCTGGCTGTTGAAAATGGTCATTGACGAATCCAAGTTGCAAATCCAAAGTCCAAAACAAATTCACAAAAGCAATAAGGGATAATATCATCAAAAGGAAGCCCAAAGGAAGCACATCTACGACGCATACATACTTGCCGGTACGAAGCAGACGACAGCCGTGCCATCACAAGCTCCCTGATTTCGAGGCCAAGATAGCTTGAAAGGCCGGCCTGGCGCCCGAAGAAATTGCGGCAGGTCGCCACATCCAGGCCACCGATTGGGTCTCCGTATTTGCAGCGCCTTGGCATGTGGTATCAGTCTGTCCGATCCTCCTTAAACATTGCAAGAGCCCCCATCTGACGCACACATCCTCAGGCCTCCCAGTTTCACACAAAATCTTGCAAGCACGAATGTGTCTATTTGCAGCCGTAACACACAGACACACACATACAGCAAACCGCCCCACAAGCACACTGGCACCTGGGATATGCGATGGGATGCTGGGATGGGCCCAAGCAATGACTAAGGCCGACACTTGGCAGGCTGGAACTGCGTGCCATCTCCTTATGCCGCCCGCATTTGGGACTTGACACGCCCGTTGGGGGAGCCAGGCAACAAAACACGACAATGAGTTTTGCCGTACTGGCCTTGGTTGATGGAATTGACCACGTCCTCGGAGAGCAAGATGCAGCCCGCACAAGTGCCCCACACCTGACGCATGCAAAAGGATTCTCCTGGTTTGCTGTTGGGGCTGTCTATCACTCATTCCCCCTGCTATATGGAGGCAAAGATCTGGGCTGGAGTCAAGTGGCACAAGTGACCCTACAAGCATTCCGACTGCGCATGCCTTCTGAAGGCAACTGCATATTGCAATTTTAGCACTATGCCAACACTGGCAAATTCAAGCTGGCCAAACAAACTTCATCTCCGTAGGCAGGTCAGGGAAAGCTCTGCTCGACGGCACAACTGACTGAACAGGGCCCTGGCCGGATGGGGTCGCCGCTCCACACCGTCTGCCCCTGCACCTGGCGCATACTGTATCCTGACCGAAAAGCCGAAACTGAGACCATGTCCTGCAAAGCAAAAGAGTTCAGCCCCTCAATAGCAAAGCATTGCAGTGCAATCCAGGGGTTGTCTCCTGGGCAGGTTCCAGAAACAACATACAGGGTACTGTCACAGATAACCTGCCACAGCAAACACCAACAAAGTGCAACCATCAACTGATGCGCTTGCCTAAGCTGCTTGACTTTACAATGGATTGCAGCACAGATGCTCCACAAGAAACGCTTGGTTCAAAGATGTAGGCGCTACGTAGGCTGGAGAACACCAAAACAACAAATGAAGGGTACCAAATGACTTGGGGCCAATTCTTGTTTGGCTTGGCCTTGAAACCTTCAAAGAAGAAATGTAGGGGTGTTCTTGTTTCTAATGATTTTCAAAACTCACAAAATGCCTAAAGTAAGAACCCGCAGTTCTTGGACGCCTGATGCCGCGTGAAACTACCCCCCAACCCGTACCCCCTACCTGAAGGGCTCTGCTTCTTGTCCCCGGGGTGGAGGCTCTTTAGCCTGGTGGCTGATATGCTTAAGCGCTTAATAATATCTAATCTCAAGCGCCGAAAGGAAACATGGGCTCGAACCCCGAAGTGGGTTAAGACATGAAGGCTACCTACCTAATCGCTGAACACCGAGAAAAGCTGAAGCAAGAATTCACTAGCAAGCTGAGAAAGAACGAGTACCGGCATACCCATTTCTCATTCAGGATACACACTGTCTGCGGAAATTTCTGAAACCAACGACTGCTTTGGCCTCCCCGCACGTACGCTCTCAGGTGCGTCATGAACCTCATGACTCATGACATTACTTCTCCTACAAGAGGTGCGCACCCCAAGCGCCCTTACTTCGCATATTACAAGTAGCTGTCTTTGGGCAGTAGGAACCACAGATTCTTCTTGAGGCTGCCGTACCTCAACTTCAGCATGACGTGAGTCTCCTGCTGCCTGGCATGCGCTAGCTTCGCTTTCACGTTCTATCTTATCAGGTGAGCGCTGGGACCGCAGCTCATCTGTGCCTGCAATGATCTTCATGGTAGTGGACTCACCACCAGGGATCACAAGCCTTCAATTGCAGGACACTTGCTTGGTTTCTCCCCGCTGAAGCCCTGCCGACTAGGCTCTGCAGGATGCTATGTGATGCAGCCTGGCTCAGCTTAGCTTTTGGTGAGCTTTCAAAGATCGCTTTGGCTTTGCTATGCTAAGCATCCTGGCGCGTCGCAAGTGTCCAGCTCTTCCATCTTACGTACCTCCCGGAATCAAGGAGATTTACACAGCACAGCCCTCGGTCCATGGAATATTTCCAATATGTTAAGAAAGGCCAGCGCAACATTTAGCACATGCAATTGCAATGTTTATCGGAGACTTCTGGGAAGCCTGCGGCACACATACCATCTACAGTATACAAGAACTCAGCACATTCGTTACATGTCACAGACAAGTTGGGGCTACCGTACTCATGATGCTCCTTCGCAGCAATGAAAATCCTAAAGGCTGACCTCTGTTTCGGAGTCCATCCATAGACATAAGGGCAAACTGAACTAATTAGGAGATTTGCAGGAAAATAGAGATGGTTGGGGCAGGGTTTATTCATGCACCTGCACGCTGATCTATGCCGTGGGCCTACAGCAAAGTTCTGCTCAACATGAGGCTACATTTGATCATATGGATTTCATGATGAAGACCCCGCTGAGAACCTCCTAATCTGGGCCAAGATCCACGACAAGGTATGTAATGGACCATATGAATGCTTTCAGTGCTTTGGTGTAAGGTCTGACCTGCTTACTAGAGAATTTCTTGCGTATGTTTTTAACATGGTCGCGGAATCAATAAATAGACCTTTTAAGAACCCACGCAACCGCCTCAACTTGAAATGCCGGGCTAACCTTCCTCAACAGCAGCATTTAAAAAAGGCAGTAGCTTAGTATGTACAAGCTTCCTGCCTGGATAATGTTCAGGCGATCAACGAGATGTGCAGGGAGGCGCTTGAACATCGCCTTGCCAACACATCATCTTCTTGTGCAAGAGTTGGGTTGGGCAATGAACCCCTGATGCAAACTCTTCAGTCTGTTTGATTCTCCAGCTCCATGATTCCTGTGCGGGCTGACTGACAACAACAGCAGCATACTGCGTCAGCACGCATCTGAAATGTTCCATGGCTGCACTGCTGTTGAGAATGTGTCAGCTGACACACCCATCGCGGGCCTCGTGCTCCTCAAAAGCGCCTTGCAGTGCCAGGATGCCCAGATTGGTCCTGAAGGAAATCAAATTCAGGAAAAGTTTGAACCCAAGTTGACTTGGGGCCTTACGTCCATCTAGGCCTGGTATTGAAAGAAAGGCACGACAGCCGTCTCCATTCAACAATTCTTTATGTGCACCGCAAAAGGGAACTGCCGAAGCGGTGGCTTTATCCTCTGGCATAGGTGGCATTGGGTCTCATGCAATGAACAGAGGTATCTAAATCACCGATTTTGCTCGTATGCCTAATCAACTCTGGCAGCTTACTCACCAGCTGTGCTTCAACTGGCAGCCCTCTGTCATCCCCATCGTATCATGTGAGATGGACTGCTGGCAGTAGCGTATTGCAACATATAGCTTGCGAATCATGATGCATGCTGACTGAGCTCTTGGGAATCATCCTGCGCTATTTCATAAACTCCAGTTTCCGCTTGGACAGGTTCTTGATTGTCTCTAACTATGAGCTCCCGCTAAAAGTGCTTCAAAATGGAACGGGAACTCCAGTATCCTGAGCCTTGATTCTCCTTTCCTGGGCCTTGCTGTTCTTTATATAAATTCCTCACAAATGTCCCTCAAATTTCAAGAGTAATTTCAGAGCCTGGTTCCAGTCAGTTACTCTCTACATGGGGAATCTGAATGAATTGCATGTCTCGACCCCTTCCGAGACATGCTTCAATCATCAAATGTGCTTCAGAAATATTCAGGAATTCTCAGATCCTTGGCTCCTGAATTTCTATGCGAGATGTCGGTTTGTATAGATTCCTGTCAACGGCTTATCAGATACAATAACGAAATCCTGGGTCTTTGGATGTGCGTTTTTCGAAAAATACCTGTCTAGATGTCTTCCTCTCAAAGCTACAGGACTTCCAAATCATCTTCTTGTACCTGGTCAAGGTTTTGCAAGATTTTGGCTGCAAACCTAGCCACAGAAAGAACCCAAGGAGATACAAAAAAGCACGCTCGGGAGGTCTGCAAGACCTGCACCTCCAGATTTCTTTGTTTTTGGTACCTCTTGACTTTTTGGCAATACTCTGACCTGCAACGCTTGCAACAGCCTGAAGAGGTATCAAAAAACAAATGCCCAGAGTTTTGGATCTCTCTAGAGTGGGCACCTCAGGAATTCTGGTTCATGTTGGTACTGTACATTGTCGGGTTCTTGCAGAGTCCTCACTCAAAACGTTGCCGAAATCTGAGGAGGTACCAGAACCACTAAAACTCTGAAGGTCTTGGTCCTCAAGACCTTCAATTGTTTTTGTCCGTATTGACAACATGTTGACCTCGAGACTTGGTTTTGAGAGGTCCTGGCCCTGCAGACGTCCCAAAACGTATTTTTCCCCAATAGCCACCAGGTTT